ATTAATTGGGATATGGATGAAATTACAAGCTGCAGAGCTGTGCCAAAAAGGAATCTCTGGTCTGGCTTATGCAAACCAGCCTGGCTGGCCTAGCAGAGAGCCAATCTGTTAACATGACAAAAGGTGTTGATGGGCCACACTAGAGGAATCCTTTGGCCTGGGGAGACAGTTGCTGCCAAGGTGGTGTGGTGTGTGTTTGAAGTGATAGGAAATTAGAGTTTTTAGAATGATGTGCACGATGGAAAGGGGTTAAATATACCGGTTGTGGGGAGGGAGGGGGGTCGCGACTCGGCAGAGTCAAAGGGAATGTATGGTGTTAATACAATTTGTTGGAAAAGAATATGTAAGGAAACAATAAAAATTTACTTGTGGAGAAATTAGAGTTTTTAGAAAGGTGTTCTGGGAAGAAGAAGGGAAATGAAGGGCTGGAATCCATCTTGGGCAGGCTGGCTGAAGACTGCTGCACTGCTGTGGGGACAAGCCCCTCTTGAAATGACCATGCTGTAAGATCTGGACTCCCTCCTTACAGACTGAAGGCAAACAAACCATACTTCTTAAAGCTATGACAGTCTCTGTGGTGTCTCAATTCTCCAAAGGAACACAGACCCTGGGTGAGTGCCTGGAAGCCCCCTGGGATCTTGCTATCACTTGGCAGAGATTGGGGGAGGCACCCAATTTTTGTAACAGTATGCACACAAACATACATATGCATATATATTCACTCCTAGGTGTCATGATTAAATCCTGCCGGGGGAGACTGGACTAGGTTATGGGCTAGTTAGAGGATTTGCATCCTGCCTTATGACTGAATGATCTGCATGGCAGCTTCCCTCAGATTGTAATAATATTCGCACACTGCGTATACACAAAGCCAAACTCATGGCAACCCAGCAGCCTTTCTTCCTGAGGGTCTTTTCCTCTTCTTCTGCAATCCCAGCACAACTGGAAAGCAACAGCAGAGTACTAGGGAATTGTGGGGAAGAGATAAATTGGATTTTGTTTGCATTTTCATGTGAAATGACATAATTCATACATCTCAAGCCAATATGCTAACTGAAACACAGATGTTCTTAAAAAATGGCACATCTCCACATCTTGCGATGCCATTCTCCAACTAAACACACCATGCAGAAATGCATTATATCAGGGGGAATTGTTTGCAAACAAAGTGTAAATAAATGTGTATGTACAAAATGCATACAAATATGTGTATATCAGGAATAATTCACACTGAAATGCTGGACTTTTAACACACACACACACACACACACACACACACACGTATTGAAATGTGGAAAACTGAATTTGTGAATGGAAAAAAGAGATAAACTTGAATGGAAAGATTTGTCTATCCCTTCTCCCTGCTCTCTGGCTGATGGATGGTGCCAGGCTAGTCTCCACCTTGCCTTTATGCTCTTCTCGGAAGACCAGAGAGTCTCCCAATTGCCCTTGATCCCTTTTCTGGCAGCAGATGCAAGCGCATGCAGCAATCCAGCTCTCTAGTCCTTGAGTCAGAACACTTGTGAAATCCACCTTGAAATATTCAAGACCTCTTGACATTCAACCTTCGGGTGAATTTGGTCATTGCTGTTGTCAAGCCAAATGTTGGGATCCAGCCTAATTTCTGGACTGGGTGGGAAAGACTTTTTTTAAGAGAAGAAAGAAAGAAAGAAAGAAAGAAAGAAAGAAAGAAAGAAAGAAAGAAAGAAAGAAAGAAAAGGCCCTCTATTCATCAGCCATGTCCATGTGCTTTAAAATGGGAGGGGTGCATTAGTCATTACATAATCCAGCGCTGTGTGCAGTCACCATGGCAAAGAGAAAAGCAAACAGCAGCTTCCTTCGAAACTTTTGATCACAGCATAGCAGCATGTTGACTTTTAGGGTGGAGGAGAAGCTGGGAGACCTCAGGACGTTCTACGCAGGGATCGAGGAGAACACATTGAAAGAGAGGATGCCTTCAAAGACATGAAGCATGGAGTACGGAGCAGGAGAGGTCAGGTGGAGGGCAACCCCCCGGGGAATCCATGGAGGTTAGCAGCAAAGAGGGGGGAATGTGAGGAAGCAAAAAGGCGGCAGCATACCTTCGAAGAACGAAGAGAAAGAGATAGGCCTTGTACCAAGTCAGCCCAACGGTCCCTCTTACTGAGTACATTAGCCTTCCCCAGTCTGGTGCCCTCAAGATCAGCAGTTCCCAACTGGTGGTCTGGAGACTCTGGGGGTCCATGTAACCCACTCTGGGGGTCCGTGGCACCATTCATGTAACAAAAACTACCACAGAAATATCAAAACCTTCAAAAGTAGGGGGTCTATGGCTTAGCTGTTGAAAAACAGGGGCTCCACAGTACTTAGCAAATTGGGGGCCATTGCTCTAGATGTCTTAGATGGGGCTGGTCTACACTGATGGATAACAGCAGCTATCTGGGATTTCAGACAGGGCTGGGACCTACTTGGAAGGGCCACCTTGTCCTGAGAGGAAGCTCATGGTCATTTGGGACTGTTTAGTTCAGAAAAAAAGGTAAACAGAAGACATGGTAGAAGTGTATAAAATTATGCACAGTACAGAGAAAATGGGCAGAAGAAAGTTTCTCTCTCCCTCTTTCTCTCCCTCCCTCCCTCTCTGGTAATACTTAAATGAGTGACACTGAATGTTGACAGACAACACAAAGTAGTTTTACAGCTCCTAGTTAAACTATGGAATTTGTCACCACAAGACATGGGGATGGCCACCTACTTGGGCTGCTTGAGAAAGGGGTTAGTCAAATTTATGGAGGATCAGTCTACCAGCAGCTCTTAGTCCTGATGGCTGTGTACTATCTCTCCAGTACTGGAGGCAACATGTCTCTGAATGCCAGTTGCCAGGGAACATGAGTGGGGAGGATGCTATCGTGCTCATGTCCTGCTTGTGACCTTCTCACACAGGCATTTGGTTGGTGGGAAAAGGATGGTTAACTAGATGGGCATTTGGACTATCCAATCAAGAGTCTTCTTAATTTCCTGTGTCAGAAATCAGTCTGTCCTGTTGCCATTGGCACATTTGTAGAATATGATCTGTAAACAGATTAAGCCTTCCTACTTCCAGCTTAGTTGGCTAAACACATTTACTCTGAAATAAGCCTCACTGTGTTTAAAAGGATACCTTTCTTAGTAAGTATGTTTAGGATTACTGCTATCACACATGAATGTTAGCAGAACTAAAGCTGCTTCAGTACAAGTAAGCCAACTGATGTGTCATTTGTTTCCTGGCGGGACACCTTGAGGGAAATATACTGAGCCGACCTTATCAGACTGATCCATAGTTTTTCCTTGTCCTCAAGGAATTGTGAGAAAAAGAAGCAGCTCTATGTTAAATGTTTGTGCAAAGGGTGCACCCCAAATGTGGAGGACAAGAATTTTACCCAAGGCTGTTGTTGGACCAGACATATTCCATAAACCACCCAGAGCTGAACTTGTTTATGTGATGCTCCCACAATGCCTGCTCTCAGTTAGGAGTGCAAAAGTTTATAAACATTAAACTTTATAAACTTTTGCACTCCTAACTGAGAAACTAGGCATGTTGATTGTATGACTTGCAGCTGAAAAGGGCTAGCAATGGTTAAAAGAAAACACCTCACATTCAGGCAATACTGTCACTCCCAGGGGGAGGAATGAGGTATCAAAGTGTGATGAGCAGAAATATCGGTTGAAAATCTGATGTCGGACTCATGAATTCACTTATTCAGTGCATTTTTAATCCGGGGAAAGTCAACACTGATGGGAGTTGCATTCGCATAATGTCTGAAGAGCACCACATTGGCCATCCCTGCCATAGAGGCAAGTTCCCTTGCTTCCCTTTGTCTCACCTCTTTTCACTGCCCTCCAATGCAACTAATTTTTGCCTCTTCTACTTCCTATAGCATCTTTGCTGCTTTCATCTCATGGTTATTTTTGGCATCTTTCTGCATGTATATGATCCCAGACGCTCTCACAACACCTCCCCACCCAGCACCCTCCTTTCTCTGTACAATGTAAGGATCTCTATGAACACACCCAGGCACACACATGCCACATAAACACAGAAATGCCGGTAATTAAAAATGGTCTGGGAGTGTCATGATGATATATGAATCATACTACTATAAAAAAAATATTCTTTTCCTTTTTCAGGGTTCATTGGCCATGAGACAAAGAGGGTTGAAGACTTTAAAACAGGAGTGCAGGGAACTTAAGGCCCTTTGTGTGTTGCTGAACCACAACTTCCATCAGCCACAGGCAGCATGGCCAATAGCCAGGCACGGCGGGAGTTGTGCGTCAGCAAAAGTTCTCTTAGCAATATGATCTCCTAGGTTCAGTCAGAGATGCCAGTTTCCCCCCAAGATTGAGGGGTTAGGATATGGTACATGCATACGACATCATGCATGTGGCACATGTGTGTGACATCACTCATGGAGCATGTGCAACGTCACGTCCTCTGGAAGAGGCTGAGCACTCTGGCAGAGCCAGGTGCTGAAGCCGTGATGTGTCATGTGTGTGATGTCACACGTGTGCAATGCACGTCAAGCCCCTCAACACTGAGGGGGCTGGGCTCCCTTCAAACAAATATCAAAGGTGCTGAAGACACCTCAGTCCCCTGGTCTGGAGTCCCCTGGAGTTGACGCATCTGGTCGTAGCCCCTTAGATATGCGAAGATGCACCCTTCAGTATAGTGCAGTGGTACCTTGGGTTATATACACTTCAGATTACAGACTCCGCTAACCCAGCAATAGTACTTCGGGTTAAGAACTTTGCTTCAGGATGAGAACAGAAATCATGCTCCAGTGGCGCAGCGGCAGTGGGAGGCCCCATTAGCTAAAGTGGTGCTTCAGGTTAATAGCAGTTCAGGTTAAGAACAGACTTCCAGAACGAATTAAGTTCTTAACCCGAGGTACCACTGTATCTTGAAACCCTGCTATGGTCTTCATACCTATGCAAAGTGCTTTGGTGGATATGTACCATGAACAGAAATTGTCCAAAAGAACACGTTATCAATACACACCATCTATAATTATTTATTAAATGCAGACCAATGTGTTCCGTGTGGTATGAGAAATAAACAAATAAATAATAATATAATACATTTACAAGCACACAAGCAAAAACAAAACCTGAAGAATCCTTTCCCACAGGTTAAGGAGCAAAATTGTGCACCCCCCCCCAAATGGATTTTAATGGGAGCATTGTTAAGCACAGGACTAACGGATCCCATTATAATCAATGGAAAAAGAAGCTTGACTTTCTCTGAATTGTGTCTTATTTTTCTTGAGCCAGTTGTAAAAGAGTTTCCTCAACTCCCCATTAAAATCTGAAACAACTTTCTGGAAGTGTTTGCCATATGGGTAAGGCTTGTGATCGCCAGTGTTCTTCCCCATCTGCAATCATCATATAAAGCAATCATATAATATCAATCTTAATACTATTATGTGCTGTTCCTTATATAGCCAAAAACTGCACCAAGAGGAAACTATCAGCAGGAACCCCAAGGTTTGCAGAAGTATAGAAAATCTTCGGGAAGGTGCGAAACTCTTAGGAGGAAACCACCTCTCCAAACAGCCCAATGAGGAGACTGAGCAAGCTTAGTGACCACAAAATTGTGACTGGCTCTTGCAGGAAGGAGAATGGAAAACCAGGGCAGGGGGAATAGAGCAGAGTAGAGTGGGAGGATTCCTGAACAGCAGCACTCCAATATGCAACATTTTGCTAGAGGTTAGCATTAGTATGTCCTAAAATGGTAAGTCCATTAGTATGTCCTAACAGTGGTAAAAGAGTTGAAGGAAACCCCACTGAGTTGAATGAGGCTGATCCCAGAGTAAGCAGGTATAGGATTTCAGCCTTAGTGGCATTCAGTGAATTCCCTCCACCACCACCATTATACTTCCAAAGTTTCCCTTTCTCTATCACTGAAATCTGCTAATATTGACAGGCAGAAACCCATGCTGAGAAGATCTATAGGTAGGGATTTTTTCCCCCAGGAGGGTTTGACTAACTGCTCTCTGTAGAGTTGTTGCCATGTTGACTTCAAGAGATCATGTTTATCTCTCATGTAGCTTTGGCAGGAGATGGCCATGCATCAGTTTGCCCATCCCATCCCATCCCTCAACTTCTTGCAATCTGCCTCCGCCCCCGCCCCCAAATAATGCATTATTTTGGTTGTTCACACCACTGTTCACACACTCAGAGGACTTCCTTATGTTTGTGTTTGTGTATTACATATAGTCAATGGTCCTCTCTACACAACAGCACATAAAATTTGCATGTGCTAATTTATAGGAAGAGACGCATATTTAGAGATAATTATTCTAATCTACTATCCTGTTTCTATGCTGTCACACATCACTGCCTTCAAACTGCAGGATTGTCCTTTGCAAAGCAGAGCAATCTCCCCATCTCCCAACAGTCTTCATGTTAGGTCCCCTAAGCAGGCTCAGTGGGCTTGGAAGTCTCACCAGGGGAGAGATTAGGCATCAATGGCAAAAGCAGGAAGCCTGTAAAGAAATCTCATTCAAAGCTGTACACAGTTTTAAAACCTGTTTTCTTTCCCCCTCCCTCTGCTTTCTTCCTGTGTTTAAAGCAGATCTATAGACAGTTTGGAATGACTTTCACTTTTAAAAATACTGTGATTTCCTGGTTTGAAAACTGATTTGTTTTTGTTTGGTCCACTTCCCTTTGTGACTCAGTTCCACAAAATCAGGCAGGGGGAATTTGACAGGATTTGAGGACAGCAGTGCTATTACAGGCCTGGCATTGCACGTAGGACAAAAGACAGTCACTGATACAGGTCACCTCTTAAAAAGAAGACATTCGGAGATTTCACAGGCTTCTAAATGGTACAGTTAACATCGAATATTCCTGCAAATTCCAATGCTTCAAAGGTGGAGTGGGGGGAGGTTAGGAGAAAACACAAATACATACATTTCAGGTATGTGGCCTGGGCCAAGAATACTCCTTGAGCTTTACTCACATTTTTACTCACAGGGAACCCCACGAGTGAATGGGATGGATATAATCTTTCCTGTTCATGTTGTGAGGAGAAAAACAAGCTTGGGCAAAATGCTGAGGTATAGAATTCTCTGTGGAACTGAGAGAAGCCATAAGCCCTATTTGGGAGATTGCCTCTTAAGCAATTGCAGGTGTGGAGGGGAAGAGCATGGCTAGGCTCACTCCCCCCCCCCAATTTATGGGCTCCCCCCTCCCGGGTGATATAGAGTCCTGTGCAAATCAGGGGTCTAAACCACACTGAGAGCAATATAGAGAAAGCTCCATGTTTCAGATCTTCCCCCTCAGCACTTGGGTGGCAGAAGGCAGGGCAGCAAGGTAGCAAGAGTGGCATGATTGTAACCACACGAGGGGAGAGGCTACCTCAAAAAAAGCCTACAGCAATTCATTAAATGAAGGAACACGGTAAAAGAAAACATTATAAAGTGCCAAGTGTACGAAGGCAGATATAAAAGGTGTGCAGGAGAAAAGGACAGGCATCTTCCTTCATCCGCTGCAGCGCTGAGTTCTGTCCCTGATTTAATAAAAACTGAAGCACCGCTATATCCGTGATGATTTCCAGCACCTCCGCCGACTCAGAATGGCTTCTCTGGCATTCGTAGCAGGACGGCTACTTGACACCTTTCCCTCCAGAATACTCTTGGTATGGGCTGGTTCGGGTTTTCGGCCGTGGGATGGAGAAATCCTGCTGGGGCTCAAGGTTCTAGGCAAAAAAAGAGGAAGAAAGTGGACCTATAAGGTTTTTAAGTGACATTTTATGTTCTGTTGAATGTTTCTTTTGAGAAAGCAGAACTGTTTTATAACTAGGCTGAGGAAGAGACTCAGAGCCCCCTGCCCCAACTTTTGCAGTGGCAGGTTGGTAGTAGTCAACTTTTCCTAAGACCTAGAAGAAAATCCAATGCTTGGGTCACTTATAATGGAAGTGAGCCTGGGTAATGTATAGGGAAATCCTTTGTTAATCAGGGGGTAAAGGTCAGCCAAACTCTTAAGTCTGTAGTCGGTGATTCCTGATGTGGCAGGCCTTTTAAGAGAACCCGTCCAGACAAAACTGCATGCTAGATACATTACCACATGGTTAGTTTTGCATGGAAACATACTTGAGCCAATGGGGCTGGGTTGGGGTCATGAAAGCTTTTGGTGGCTGCAAAAAATGATTCCCTTTTAATTATTTTTCTAGAATGCTGCATAAGGTGAATAAAGTGCTTCAGTGTGATCCCAACCCCTCCTTCCCCAGTTATTGGCATCTTCCGTTTGAAGTTTGGGCATGGAAGCTCCCCACAATCCCCTCTCTTTCTTTGCCTCTTTAGAGAAGAAGCAACTCGTCCACCATTCGCTATAAGCACAGAGACTCATCACCTCCACAGCAATCATCTTTGACTGCTTGGAGGGGAGAGACACACATTCCTGACTGGTTAACAATCATGTGATCAGAAGGAAGCATCGCCTTCACTCATACTTGACTTTGTTTGTCCCCAATAATATCAGCAGTGGCATCGAAATGCTCGCCACGTGGTTTCTGGTTGGCTGGGACGTTGCTTACAGGGCCCACTATACAACTGCATCAAGCATTCTGTAGTTTACAGCCAATTCTATTACCTGCCCCAACATACACTATTCTGTTGTCTCGATGCAGCCAAAAAGAACTCACGTTACCCAGACGTCAAATGCAGCTTGTTAGCTGAGTTGTTCTCTGTGTCCCACACAGCCCCAAGACCACATAACCTCATGTGAGTGGCAGCTCCACCACCAACTCGAAAATGTTTAATAATTATCCAAACATGTTGAAATTCCTTCATAGGCCACTTGATTGAATGAAGTTGCATTGCAACGAATCATTCCCGTACTGAAAAATCAAAGACTGTTTATTTACCTGCAGCTGGAAGTGAGTTGAATATGGAGGATATGAAGGGCCACTGTTTGCATTTGGAACTGAAAAAGACAAGCAAGGGGAGGCAGTGAGTCAGTGTATTTAATATTGCCCCAAAAACAAAGAAAACTCCATTTGCTTCCAGACAACCATCTATAGCAACAGTTGTGTATACACAATACAGTTAAAGCATCCTGGGAACTATAGCCGTGGCACCCTGGGGTGCCTTGAAGGATGGTCAGGGGTGCTGTGGGCAACACTGGCCTCTGTTCCTTCTTCCCTTTCTCCCTCCTCTTTGACACCCTCTTGCATCTCTCCCAAAGGCTTGCATGGCTGTTTGTTACAGCAGCCCTGGCTTCAAGCTCTGCAGGCAAATGGTGCCTCTGGGGCTGGCCAGGGGGTGCCTCCCAGGCCCCTGTGGGGCAGTGTGAGGAGCACCTCTCTTTCTGGCAGGGTGGGCAGCTCAGAGACTGGGGCAGCAGTTGTGGCTGCCCAGAGGACTCCCAAGGAGAGAGGAGAGGGGAAGAGGCTGAGGGAACACTCCACAAGGGAGGGTGTTCAAAAAAGCATGAGAGGCTGCCAGCCCTGCAGGCAAGGGGTGACATAACTGGGCTCCTGAGCCCCACAGGGGTGCCACAGAAAGAATGTAGTTGCTCAAGGAAGCTGTGGAGCCAAAAAGGTTGAAAACCTCTGATGTAGTGTGTTGTGCAGCCCAGTCCAATTTGTATTTACTCAGAATGAAAGCCTTTGTCTTTTGCATAAAGGAAGGGCTGTAGCTCAAAGGCAGAGCATCAATGGGTGTAGCCAGGGGGGAGCAGGGAGGGGCAGCTGCCCCCCAAATCAATAAAAATAAATATAAATACATAACTACCCCTGCCTATCAAAAGGCCTGCCCCCTAACAAAAATCCTGGCTACGCCCATAAGAGCATCTGCTTTGTATGCAGAAGTCCCTGGGTTAATCCCCAACATCTCTAGGTAGGACTGGGAGAGAACTCTGGCAGTGGGTTAGATACTGGGCTAGATGCCCCTAATGGGCCTTATTCCCAGGTAAGTGCATCTAGGATTTCAGCCACCCAAAAATATTTCCCTTTTGGGGACCTGACTGAATCCTGATCCATGTGGTGTGCAACCTGTTGATTTGAGATTTAAGATTTAAGAAAGAAAGAAAAGTGACAAATGAATGCCATAAATCATTATATAGGTATTGGCTATAGAAGCATTTACTTAGGTGGCAGTGAACCTGCATTACAGGAAAGACTAGGAAGCTGGCCTCCCACCTTCCCTGTGGCCCAGGATTCTCCTCAAAAGTGCCTGCCTTTCCAAGGACACTTCCAGTGTGGCCCTCTTTGTGCTCTGCAACACCAAATGAGAACAAGGGAAGCTGTCATAGGGAATGCTTTGAAATGGGTTAAAAAATAATAATTCAGCAGCATTCCTAAAACAATCTGAATATTTTCAGCTTGCCAAAGATGCTCTCTCTATCACACAAAGCACTTGCCAGTCCCAGACATACAGGCATTGCTATGGATAGCCATACCTTGCGCGTTGTCTTCCTGAGCATAGGCTCGATTCTCTACTCCGTAGGTTTTTTTCAGGACTTTAGGCTGGCAGGCATCATTCTCCGGAGGGTAGTCTCCGGGCTTCCGTGGCGTGGTGAGGAAACAGAGCTCAGGCACTGCATATATCATCAGGAAGACCCACCCATTAGCTACCAGAGCAATGCTGATAGTGGGATCGTCCCATTCTGGCCTTTTCCCAAAGTCTGTCATGAACACGCTGATCCATGCCACCCAGATGCCTATGGAGAACAGGGCTGTGAAGAAGGTGTGTGTGCCATGCCTCTTCCACCTTCTGTATGACCCACAGAAAACAAAAGTGGAGACCACAAAGAGGAGGGCTATCAGGAAAAGCACGTAGATGAGAAGCAGAACAAAGTCCACGCGGCTTTTTTGTGTCAAACCTTTCGTGGAGTTCAGGGCCCTCAGCTCTTGGCTGTTGATGGCTACGTACTGTATGGCGATAATAATCTGCACAATGGTCAGGCTGATGGCGAAAACCAGCAGCGCCAGTACCGAAAATGGGCGTCTTCCTCTCACCAACTTGACGAGGTCGAAGGCATGGGCCAGGAGGCAGGCGAAGCAGAGGGCGAAGAGGACCCCAAAAAGAAAGAAGCGGGTGGGGGCAGTCCTCTCGTTGAGCCTTATAATGAAGGCAAAAGTGAGGCCGAAGATTCCTAGAGTGCCCAGAAGGAAGAGGAACTGGACAGGGATCAGGCTTCGCTTTGTGTTGTCTTGGACTTTACATACAAGGCAAATGAGCACAAGGATCAGGATGGCTGTGATGACAGCACCAGCCGTAGCAAAGGATTCCACAACAACGCCCCAATAGTCCTTGGTGTCACAGAGGAAGTCATAGTCTCTATCTAAGCCTTGACAGACTGGCTGGGAGGTCATGGTGCCTCAGGACAGCCCTAAAGTGGATGCCGCCTTAAAGGAAGACCTGTAGAAATTAAGAGAAGCATGATAAAGCATGATTTGAAAAAGAGAGCGAAATAGACTACAACCTACAATTCTATGAAGGGGATAATATCAGAACAGCTGAACCAAGTCAGACACTACTTAGAGATGTCAAAGGAAATAATTGTTAAACTGGAAATAATTAATAGAAGTGGAATACAAAAAGGGAGGTGTGAGGAGGCCGTGGAAATATGTGAAAGAAAGATAAGATATTGGAAGTTTTTTCTTTTTTCTTTTTTTCTTTCTTTTGATGTGTTTTTAAATTGTTTTTGTTTTGTTTTGTTAATTTTTATGTAGTGTTTTTGTATTGTAATGTACTGTTTTTTCTTTGTGTTTTTTTGTAAGTGTTTAAATTGTTGTAAAAGGAATAAATATTATTATAAAAAATAATAATTATTAAACTGATTCAGATAAAGCCTTATTTCATTAACTGAGTTATGGATTATGGAATCTAGGCATATGGTGAACTAATCTAGTAGTACCATTATATTTAAAAATATTATTTACTACAGTGAGGATCATGTAATCAAAAGGCATACATTTTGAAACTCAGGTATAGTATTTTCAGGGTGCAATTGCCTTTTGAAGTTTCAGACTAAAGAGCTATATATGGCATGGCTTGAAGTTTGGCAGTGTAATCTCCAGTGGGCATTACTGGTTCCTTTTTACCTTCTGCACAGTCAAACTTTGTTGGGTTGCTTGTTTTTACAAACTTTCGGAGTGGGGAGTCCAAAGGAATGAAAAATGGAAAGTGAAACTTGAACAGAGTTACTGAAAAACAAATACATATCAATTTTTCCCATGAAAAACGCCTCTCTGTGTGTGATTGTGTGTGTTGAGTGCATACAGTGGTACCTCGGGTTATAGACGCTTCAGGTTACAAACACTTTGGGTTACGGACTCCGCTAACCCAGAAATAGTACCTCAGGTTAAGAACTTTACCTAGGATGAGAACAGAAATGGCGGCAGTGGGAAGACCCATTAGCTAAAGTGGTACCTCAGGTTAAGAACAGTTACAGGTTAAGAACGGACCTCCAGAACAAATTAAGTTCTTAACCCGAGGTACCACTGTAATTGTGTGTAGGTCTGACCCCACTCACTTTAGGGTCTGGCACTGCCCTCTAATGGAATGTGACATTTCGGGGCAAATGTGGGCCACCAAATTTTAATGTTTTGAGTCAGGCCCCAACTGCCTGCATGTGCAGGCGAATGCACCGCGTTCTCCAAAGGACTGTCAACACTGTATCAAGCAGGAACACCCCTTTCCTCCATCTGCCGTATCCTCAGAGACATTCCTTCAGATAACTGAATACAGAAAATTCACCATAAAGACTGAATGCAGAGTAAGTTGCTTCTTCTGGTGCAAAATTTCCAAATCAGAACCCCTATGCGTCATTTTAACATTAGCACTTGCCTTGGTTTACAAGGGCCAGGCAGAAATCCCCCCACCCTCTCCATTTCTGAGAAAAAGAAAAATACTTTTAAGCACTCAGGCTGTAGACCTATGCAAACTTGCTGCCAAGTAAACATGCGTAGTATCGGGCTGCAAATCATTCATTCACTGCCTGGTTTGCTACCCTCCACTTAAGGGTGTATAGCTATCTTAAAACCACATGCAGCCGATAGCTAGAGGTCAAACAGCCAGATCCACAAACCAATTAAACAGTGCTGAATGCGTTTCAACAGAATGAACACACTGACGCCAACGGGACACCGACTTGCTTAATAATAGCAGGGCTAAATCAACAGAATTCCAGGTACTCCAGTTAAGACTTGCTAGCTGTGAGAACGCAAAATAAATCTACAGGGAAGGCGTCGGTCGTGGCATGCTTTGCGCACCAGTGCGTATGCATAAATAAGGAATTTTTTGCACTTTTCAGATACTACGAAAGAGCCAGAGAATAGCTGTCGATAGGTGTCTTTGTAATGCTAAAAAAATGAAAGGAAAATCCCATCTGCAGACTAGCAATCCAGAAATGAAGCTACAAACTGCACCACAGCAGCATGCCCTGGGGTCAGGCTGAGAAAGAGCCACAGGACTCCCTCCTACCAAACTTCTTGCTCTACGATCCCATCATGGTCTTTGATTTACCTTGAGTGTGCTCTGTGCTCCCACGGCTAGACGTGTCTTCTTCAGTAGCAGAGGGCAAACCAGGGAAATTCCTGCCGCACACCCACTCGGCAAATAATCTCAGCTCTGCTCGTTCTTCTCTCCCCGAGCGAGACAAGCAGCAAAATTGCTCTCTCACACTCTAAGGGCAGCTTTAAAAGCAAATGAGGAAAAAAGCAGAGATGATGGAGTAGGGACACGCCTATTCCAGTTCCACTACTCCTGGTGCTGTTATAAATATAACGTCCCGGTGCCAGGAGATGAGGTAAAAATGTCTGACGTCAACAGGACAGTCACCCCAGCAGCTGGGTGGGGAAGGATCCTGCGCCTCTCCCCACCCCACAATTGAATCCGTGACCATTCATCAAGTCAGTTGATAAATTGCACCTCTCTGGGAGTTGAGAAACCAAGAGGATATGGGCTGGTGGGAGACCCCTGGCCAACAATAACACCATTGTGCTCCTCCTCCCCTTCATTGCTTTCTATACTTACCTAACATTCAGCTAAGTTAATGTACTGAGGAAGTTCAAGAGTGACCATGAGAAACAGTCTTTTAAGTCTCCCTCTCTCTCCCTCTCCCTTGTTCTCTTTCTTCTTTGTACACTCAATCCCTGGAGCAGAAGCTGCTCATGCCTGTAGACGCTCAGGAATTTCCAGTGCTTATCCTTCTGAGCAAATCAGGTGTTTTGCCATCCAGATCAGCTAAGAAAAAATATACAGAGGATATGTGCACAGACTCACACTCAGAGCCGGCCCACCTATGAGGCAAGGCAAGGCAACTGCCTTAGGTGGTAGGATCCATGGGGCAGCAGATCTGGCCTCCAAGAATGCATTGCCCACAGTTGTTGCCATAGTGGCAGCGATGGCTGTGGTACAAGCCTTGGAAGTCAGATCTGCCACCACCTTGGCAGCCCCCCACCCAGTGTCACCGCTACAGCGACCTCTTGGCAAATAAGAGGTGCTGCTGGTGTCCTCCTACCCCTAGGGAGGAAATGGCGGAGCTGCCCTTGGAGTCTCCTAGGCTCTGCACCTCTGCCCAGCTTGATTTAGAACAGGCCTCTTCCCTCCCATGATGGTCTTTGATTCCCTTCAACCATCGGGTAAGGATTTGACACACACCTTTCTTCCCGATGTGAATTTTCACTCACCCCTTTGTACCTGATGTAGATCTTTATTTCCCCCTTCTTCTCTGGCAACGGATGCCATTTTGTGGTTCACCTCAGGTTCACACTGCACTTCCTACAAGTACACTTCACCACAGCCAAACCAGGCTCAAGGCCAGCACTGAGAGTGGAAAAAGCATCACAGGTTATGACATTTGCTCTGTGTTATTACTTCAAAATGGGTGCAGTGTATGAAACTAACCTGATATAAGGTAACTGTAGGTGTCTGCCACAGGCATCTTAACTGGGGAAGCCGTTTTGCTGATGACGTAGTAGCAGAACATATCTATTCTCAGTGTTCACATTAAAGGAGATGTGATGCCCGGACACTGAAGTCCAGCACCGAGGGCCTTCTGGCAGTTCCCTCACTGCGAGAAGCCAAGTTACAGGGAACCAGGCAGAGGGCCTTCTTGGTAGTGGCACCCGCCCTGTGGAACGCCCTTCCACCAGATGTCAAAGACAAGAACAACTACTATACTTTTAGAAGACATCTGAAGGCAGTCCTGTTTAGGGAAGCTTTTAATGTTTAACAGACCACTGTATTTCAATACTTTTTTGGAAGCCGCCCAGAGTGGCTGGGGAAACCCAGCCAGATGGGTGGGGTATAAATAAAAAATGATGATGATGAGCCCCCTCACAGGTACTATTTTTCAAAGGCCACTGTGGGCATCATCTCAACAACAGCTGAGGAGGTGACTCAGGGGGTTGTAGATTTCCTTAAGGTCCCTTTACCTTTCCCCCGGTTGTGACTGGTGCCAATGTGACTGGTGGGGCGGGAGGCAGGAAGGTCAACATCCAAGAGAGCTAGAGCCAATGGCAGGCAGAGTCATCACAGCTAGTTGTAAGAAAGAAGGCAGGCAGGTGAAGGCTGGCTGAGGGCAGGCTGAGGTTGGTGGGGCAGTGCCCCATACCCCCAAATAATTTGAGCAATGGACTCTGGTTACATACTATTGGAAGCAAGGAAGGACAAATGGTACAGTGGGTGCCTCAGGCTAGATTTAACTGCCTGGCAGCTGGGCAGTACCACCTTAACAGGACTTGGAGACAGAACTTCTGGAGGAGCAGAGGTGAGCCAGTCAATGATCCCAGCAGACTCGGCTCTAGAATGGAAGGAGTCTGTTGCAAGTCACCTAGCCAGGCATGAGGAAGGCTTTGGCCAGAGCAGTGAACTGAAGTCTGAATGGGAGTGCAGGTCATCATTTTAATATTTCACCTGGGCTGTCCAAATACCTGAGGTTAGCCCTAGGGGCCCAAGCAACGCAGGTGCAACCACACCCTGAGCTAATCTCGAATATGTTGAGGCCACGTGAAACAGCCTTTTGGCTGGTTTGACAGCAGCTTTGCCAAGAATGCTTTCATTGATTTTATTCTAAGAAGCGTCAAGCGACGATGTGTAAAAAACAGAAGAGAGGCTATTAAATATTAAATGCACACGGCAGGACAAGGCACATACTATTGTGTCCTGTGTGCTTTTGGTTGCTGATAACTATCATAAGGGACACATAGGATTTGGGATTTCTTCCTGTGGCCTAAATAGCCTCACAATGGAAAATGGAGAGTCAAGATGCAGGCAGGGAAGATATAATCAAAACAGTGCTGTTTGGATTCACTGGCAGAGACTAGGGAGGCTCTGACCAACATCAACAGAACCAAGTCAGAAAGTGTCTCTGTCTGCAGCAAACCCTCTTAGAGACATTCAGCTATCAATGGGACATCTAATATAAATAAATAATAACAACTGTGGATATATGAGTTTTGAGACTTATTGATTTAAATAGGTTCCACCCTCTGTCCTGTCCTGTTTTTTTTGCTGTATTATCACTGTGATGCCACATTTACCCACCCCAGAATTCTCCATTCAGTGCTGTTATCTTATATGGGACTGTGAATCAGAGCTTCAGAATACTGTATTTGCTCTGATAGCTGAAAAAGCAAATATAATCAGGGCACCAAGTTCAGTGACAAATATCCTTTACTATATACTCTGGGTGTGGCCAAAGACACATTTGATAATGTCACTAAAAGTTAAGAGTCCCATATAAATATTACTAATAATATTACTAATGCTAATATTTATTTTTATTTTGTTCCATCTTAGTATGGTTTATAATTCATGATGCTTACTGCAAATGATGTTTCCGTCTTTTATTTTAGGCTTTGAAGCAACAGTGTGTGACACTGTTCTTTAATATTGCCATTTGACAGCTCAGAAATTCAGTCTGAGTCTGAGATACAGTATATATTTTGCTCCAGCCTTACTGTGCTTATGTTAGCACATATCTGAATGCAGGTTTTCCTGCTTCAGATTTGACACTACACAGAATTCAAGAATCTTTCTATCCCCTGAAAAGAAGGTATCTGTTCAGTCTTCAGCAACGCGATGCTGTGGGGATTTCACTTCAAGACAGTACAAAGTGGCTTCCTCTCTCTCTCTCTCTCTCTCTCTCTCTCTCTCTCTCTCTCTCTCGGTCCCTCTAAACAATCTCTCTCTTTTTTAGTATTCATCTTGATTTGCTTTCACAAAGCTTATGCAGCGGTTAGATTATACCCAGCTTTTATTGAGCATTTGTTCTGATTGGTTTGTGGGGTGGTTATACAGCAATGAACATCCATCCTGCATTCATTCTGACTTGCTTACTGGGGAGTTTACATGTCTCCCCGTTAGTTATTTAGTCATTCCATACTTTTCAATGCATTTCCCTGTCACTTTCCAAACCATAGAAAGTTTGTGAAGATTCAAAGTCCAGAATAGAGCTCTAAAGCTTTTTGTCACTAGTCAAGCCACCAAATGAGACAACCTAGTCTGACATACTCGGGGACATTAGCTATGTCTCATCAAAGGCTGTGAGTACCATTTTTCTGCACCTACAGGAAAGGGAAGGGACTGGGAGGAGAGATAGCTAAGAAAGGGAGGATGAACAAACAGGCAACAGTGCTTCAGGAATCTCTGGAGTGATATTTTGGTGTGAGTGAGAGTAGCAAACATGTAAGCACTGGGAAGGACTACGGCTTGAGCGTGAAAAGAAAAGGGTACCAGAATGTCGCAGAATGTCCCATGGGCAGCAAAGGGGCTTCTTCTTCCATGTTGTTCTTTTCATGCTAAAATAAGGAGGCTAAAATAGAGGGAAACTAAAATAAATCTGGAACTAGAGGCCTCACCTTTTACTTATGTCCTTTGGCATGTTTAACATAATGAGTCATTTGATTCTTACTTGGGCTAGAGTTTTAAGGAGTGGCTTTCCGGTGTAAATATGTGGTAAAGAAGCAGCTAGGGAGAATAGCAAACATACACATCATCAGGGGCACTTTGGAAGTGTGATATGCAAAGCTGCCAAAAGAACACAAAATATAAAGTCAAATGTAAATTTGCTATGATTTATATAGAGAGGGGAAGGGAGAGAAAGTAATGGAAGCGTCAAACAGCACTCTGGACAAGTTTGTTCTGGATCGTGGTAGGATGCCATTAATCACTAAAACTATATATTTTGTTACTGTGAATAAGGAAACATAAATTTTAAATTCTGATAGCTAAACATCTGAGGTTCTGCCTTCATCGGTTGCTCTTATGAAAATGCTGCTCTTTCCAAAGTTGCAGGTTTGAGGCTGTGGTGCTCAGAAGACCTTCATTTGCTGAAGCTCAGAGATGCTGTTACTACCCTCTTGGCTGAGGCCCTGTGATTTTAATGCATCCAGCATGTACCTCCAGATGTTCCCCTATTTTGCTAACATTGTTGGATTTGTTGGCATCTCTACAGCAGTTATTGATAAATTAAAGAATTTATCTGTATGAAAACGTTTAGCAGCAAATCACTCCAATTCCTTTTGTCAAAATCACCAATTTGCAGTTTCTAAAAAATTTGCATAGGTCAATTGTAGCTTTACCTGCATACAGGATATGACATCCCTTTTTTGCATTCAATGATATAAATCATATTGCAGGACCCACAGGTAATGTATTGTTTGATGTATTATTATTATTATTATTATTATTATTATTATTATTATTATTACTATTATTACTATTTACCCACCCTTCACCCTAAGGTCCCAGGGTGAGTTACAATATTGAAACACAATATTAAAGAGTTTAAAACTATGTTCTACTTCTCCTGGTGCTTTTGAAGGTAGCTGTCACCAAGAGATCCACACAGGTGATTCAGGGTTTGGAATTACATGGATGAGATCCATGACTGCTGATCTGTGGTACAGCTCTCACTAATAGTTTGCATAGATTTGGAAGCTGGCAGAATGATACCTTTAGCAAGCCATTCAGTATTTGCTAACAAAAGGTAGCTTTCTCTTATTACCAGGTGATAGGAGATGCTGGATGGAAATCTACCGCAAATGAGATATATTGCTCTTTGTTACTTGACACCACATTTGATGCAGGAGGCTTTCTCTAAACAAAATGGAAGCTTGGTGGATGCAGAGGATGCCC